GATAATGAACCTATTGAATCATCAACACATTCAGATGAATATATGTCAGATAATAATAACGAACAACAACTCCAACAAACATCACCTGTTGAACATAATCCAATACATATTAAATCTCAACAACATACTCAACAATTAACAAAAGAAGAAAGACATAAAATACATAATCGTACATGTACTCTTAAACAACGTAAACGATATTATCAACGTGAAATCCAACGTCGAAATATTGATAAACGATTTAAAATTCGAAACATAAAGAAAATTCTTCGACAACATCGAATATTATTTACAGCTGTTAACTTCTCAACATCCCCTACTACTCATGAACGTACATTACATGTTGGGATAAAGGATATATCAAAATTAAAAACATATGAAGTTCAAATAAAAAATTTATTTACCACCGAACATTATACACAGGTTACATATAAAGAACAACAAGTTCATCGTCGTGAAGATAATTATTGTCGTTGTCGTGAACATTGTCATTGTCATCGTCGTGCAACAAATAGATAAACAAATGAATCATCGTGTACTGCACTTGTGACCGAGCCGGTGAAGTTGCACAAACAAATAAAAAAATAAGAAACTAAAAAAGAAAAATAAATAAATAAGAAACATCTTTTATTTTATTATTTTTTTTGTTGACGTTACTTATTGTATTGATCGTTATACTTTTTTCAAAACCAAAACATTTTCATTTTCATTTATATTTTTGTTTTGTTTTGTTTTGTATTTTGTTATTCTCGTGCATCTAAAACAAAAAAAATATGGTTATGATTGTTTACTTTGTTATTTCATTTATTGTTATTATATTTATCGTTGTTAGTCCTCTCTGGGAAAAAATGTTGATAGGACACATTTTTTTGTCCAATATGGGAGTATGTTACAGTGATGTCGCACTGATACAACTGCCATCTATTTCAATTATTTTATTTTATTTTTTATTTCGTTTTCCATTTCTTTCTCGGTGATATATCTAGTCTTTTCTTTTGTTATCCATATATCTTTTTTTTGTTCTCTTTCTTTTTTCCTCTCTTTTCTTTTTTCTCTTTTTTTTCTCTCGCTCACTATATATGTACGTGTTTTCCATCATTTAAACAGATTTAAATAGATAAATAAAAGACGGTGTGCAAGTGTACGTATACACACACACATATACATATTTTTTCCGTAAAAGAAAAGAAAACGAACTTAGCGTCGATCCAAAAGGACAACCGCTAACACCTGTTGAATTTACAACTCCTAGTACAACACAATTTACAGTACGATCTCATTATCTTTTTTCCTTCTGGCTGAAAGAGAGTTGAAAAATTTCAAAATTCATTGTAACAAGCTAAAAACCAGTGGTACTATGCACTGAGTACAATCTTCGGCGTGAGTCTTCGATTTTGAGTCATGGTTAAAGCTAAACGATTTTCTAAAAAACTAAAGAAAATTCGATTTTATTCTAAAGATCCTTAAATGAGTTATCAAAGACTTAGAACAGAAAACCGTATGACGTTCACTAGGACACCGGCACAGACAACGATAGCATTCAATACATAACCGATACCGGTAAGAATAACATAAAAGCTCTGAGTGTCAAAAGTAGCAAAACGTCAACTGTGCCATTCTTTATTGAAGTTACATTCAGTTGCGCAACGTCAAAGCTGATTAAACGACTCAAGATTGATCTAAATAAATTGATTTCATATTAGTGAATCGAACAAACATAATGCAATCGATGTCTAATACATGTTTTATAAGCAAGAAGAAGTTTCTCTGATGAATTTTTTGTGAATGAAAGTCTTGTATGTTCCTATCGTTTTTGGATGTCAATTAAACAGAATGAAAAGAATGCTGACATATCATGATTTGTCAAAAAAAAAGTTTCAATGATAGTTTGCTTTGTACTGCCTCTAAATTGTTTCACTTCTGTCAATGCAGCTAAGTTGTTCCTCGTTGGCCATTATTTTCTTTTTTGAAGAGCCTACGTTCGGAAAATTATCTGACACGGAAGTTACCCTAAAAATGAAAATCTATCCAAGAAAAAAATTCAAATTAATCAAGTGGAAAAATAAAATAGAAATTTTAATGATACACCCAAAAAATCTAATAAATTAAACGAGTGCATCATAAAACTACAAGTTATCCTTGATTACAATGAAGGAAAACAAGGGATAGATTGATCAGATCAGCTATCAGCATACTATATATGTCTTAGAGAATCGATAATACGGTATGAAATGGTGACATTAGAACTGATATTTGGAACGGTAATAGTTAAAAGAAATTTCATTTATAAGAAAAACTATGTTACAAGCGACATAACTATTGTGCAGCTTCGTCAAAGTCTTGTGCAATTTTTACTTGCTATTATACAATGCGCAGAATCTGAAGTCTGGACCGAGGCAACGGTTAAGAGATATGAGCCTGGTAACAGCCAAAAAAGATAGAAAACCACCTGTTCTTGTTGTTTTAACGAAGGGCATCATTCTATGCAATAAGATAAAGGGAAAAGAAAGTGTTTTTCTGTTAAGATTCTTGTTAAAGTATGATGGACTCACAAGAAAGTCCTATTGACTCGAATATATCAAATGAATAAGACATTATTGTTGCTCGTTATTTGGTCTTACCTGATGTATTGCTCAGAATTAAAGTAATTCGGTTTTTACAATAATGTTGTAGTTAAAGGTTGGATTATTTTGAATAGAATATTAATTTTGCTTGTAACGTTATAGAATAGTCAAACTACGATAGAAGAACTGGTAAAGTTCGGAAAAAGAGTTTTTTCCTTAGCTGTTCAATTCAATGCAGAAAAATAAACTAATGCTGATTTTTTAACTCTAAGTTTTCTATCATCATTTTTTTTGTGCGTCCAATTTCTGGTCGTTTTACAAAGTCAATATTTCAAAGAGAAAATAATGAAAATGAACGAGTAAGAGAGCAAACAGAGCATTTTCTACAACATAATAATCGCGGCCATGTCCTAAATAAAAGCTCATTCTGAAACAACACTTCGGCAAAAAAAAACTCATTATTGACTCTGTCAACATTTTTCTTCATTAAATGCTATAAATGAAACGATATCAATCTATTATTCATAAATTGAGTCCTACTACAGTTTTTTTCTTTACTTAAGAACTCAACTCAACTTTCTTTCTAATTGACTAATAATAATAAACCCTAGACGAACTTTAAAATATACGATAGAGATACTAAATGGGTCTAATTTTTTGCTATTTTCTTGCACTAATGGAAATAGTGCTTCAAATGATCTCGAGCTTTTGATCACAAGCAGATATATGTAGCTTGATTAATGATCTTTATTTAATTACAAAATATAAAATTTCTTAATTTAATCTTAATTTTTCATAGAAGAAGAGATCCAAAACTGAATCAACATTATCTCAAACGGACTTCAAACATGCTTTTTGACTATGATCGCCTTTTTACCGTCGAAACATCCCTATTTTCTAAATTCTTGATCCGTTATTGCTATATGCTTGAAATTTCTTTCTTACAATAAATTTTGTTTTTGTTTTTCAATAATATGTAAAAAGAAATGTGTGGCTATTGAAAATAATTCTGTTGTAGAAAAACACAAGAAAAAAAAAGTGATGAATTATTTTTGCAAAATATTGTATAAATTCATTCATATAAAAATCTATACCTTTTTCATTCCTGAATGATTGCAACTCATCCGTTGCTAACCACAAACAGTGACGGACTAATATCAAGTCTGCTCTAATTTTTATTGTGTTAGCGAAAGAACAGACAAATAGTAAAATAACTAAGTGTAAAATGACAACGAATGTGCGTAAAAGCATTCTCTCGAAATAGCGGGTATAAGATTATTCTGCAGTTTTTCAACATTTTTCGGGCAGGGTTTTTTACAAAAAAGAAGAAATTTTGAGATCTACTGGAATTTGTTTCGACAAGATTAACATTTGATATTTTTGAATTTTCGATCAATATCAAGTTTTTTGCTTTAATTCTTTCGATTCTCTAGCCTAAATACAATTCTAAATATCTCTAAAACCATCTTGAGCTTATTATACATGTTCATTATGAATCTTTCATGTCTTCAATGGCCAGAACAAACACATAATCTATTTACAATTAAGAACTCTATACATTAGCGACAAAATGGCGACTCTAACTTTCATGAGGGTGTGGGTGCGGATAAAGTGAACACTAATACCAACACCCACGCTCACACCCACACCCACACCCTAGCAACCCACACCCACACCCTCACACCCACGCTCACACCCACACCCTCACACCCACACCCTAGCAACCCACACCCTCACACCCACACCCACCACCACACCCGCTGGGTGTGGGTATGAGAGAATAGAAGATTCACACCACACCACACACACGCTCACACCCAGATCCACACCCTCACCTACAACCACATCCTCACCCACACCCATACCCACACCCACACCCCACACCCACACCCTCACCCACACCTACATACACACACCCTCCAGCTATAATTGCCTGGATCAATTCTGTACAAAAGAGAAAAAACGCTGTATACATAATGTCGAGTGTGCGCATGTGTTACCTGATCGAAGATCACTCCTTAACCGCTTATGTTCATAGGCTGGTGTCGCGCCTGAATCTCAAATGCAATGTTTCTCTCTCTCTCTGTTTGAATAGCAATCTAGTTCTAGAATCCTTCGCTCTCTAAACAGCGGAGAGAAGAGCAGATGTCATGTCCAAAATCAATGAATATGTAAAATCGAGAGATACAACCGATATCTGTTAATATGCCAAATCGAAAACGTGCAACGTAGTGAAAGAAAGAGAGCATATACTAAAACCACGACTGGTGTGAGGTGTGGGTGTGACTAGGATCTACAAGTTTAGGTGTGGATGTTGTGTGTATGTCAATGTGTCGCTGTGTATGGGTCTGGATGTAGGTGTGGTCATTTCGGGTGTGAGCATCGTTGCCCGAGTTGTAGTTCCACACCAACTTCGATCCTCACTCCTACATTCACACTTGTTGCCACACCCAGACCCATACCAACACCCTTGCTTGAAGCAGAGACATATTTGAGCACACAAACCGTGTCTTTTCTCCGGAAAAAACGGGATGTTAGCAGAACATGTAATGCTGTGACAAATATCAGA